AATTTGTTCCCAGAAAAATACGATAAACACATTATCAAAACATTTTCGAAGAAACGTATTTTTATTTATGTTAAAACGTTTGGGGTGTCATCGTCAATACAAAAACATAAGCATAAACTGAACTTACATTTATTTACACTAGTGATCTACATCTCTTTAATCTCTCAATGTAATGTGACTTCATATCAATACCTGTGATGTAAATAAACTGAGTGGGTCAGGTTGGGAAACCTGGTGAGTACATAGGGTTTTCAACCCACAATAATATAAATTATTATGTTTTAATATTTAAGCAATCAATCCAATTACTCATCCCCATTCTCTTCTTTATTCTACTCTAAGAATTCAACTATTCCTCATTTATCTCGTTTATTGACAATATCGTTTCCGAGACTCCTCTCGCAATACAAGTTAATGGGTTTTATCTTGTTTATCGACGGTATCGTTTCTGAGACTCTACTCGCAATACATGTCGATGGGTTTTTAGAGTACACCTGGTGAATACACAGTTCAAAACACCTACAGGTTGCGAGCCTGCTAGTGTCCACTGGACTGTCTAGAATAATCCGTGGTTGTTATTTTTGGGCCTTGGGCTCCTATAGATTTATTGGGCCAAGCTAGTTGGGCCTATTAGGGGAAAAAGGTAAAATAGTCTTTTACCATAAAGGCTCAGGATGATGAGTTGGGACCCCTGTTATGGTTTATGACCTAATTTCTAATTAGGATTTTCATTATTTGTGAATTAGTGAGAGGATTTCACGATTTAATAGCTCGAGTATGATTTGATACCTTCATTCTGAGGTGAGTTTCCTTTACTATACACGTGGGTCGAAGGCACCAATGCCGGCCCATTGGATTATATTAGTAGGATGATAGTTGTCTTCATGACAACTCCCTGTATTGCTTGTATATGTTTGTTGTCTCTGTGACTGTTATTATTATGATTATATGCTAGCTGTAGGGGTGAAATAGACCCGATATCGATTGAAAAAGACCGAAGGGGTTAAAATATACCTAATACCGGTTAAAAGAGACCGAAGGGGTTGAAATATACCTAGTACCAGTTGAAAGAGACGAAATGAGTTGAAATATACCCTATATTGGTTGAAAGAGACCAAAGGGGGATGAAATAGACCCATATATATATTTTGTTTGTATGTGTGTATGGTATGAGGTATTTTGGGGGACATCACTAAGATTTGTGCTTACAATTTTGAATTTATGTTTTAGGTACTTCTAGCTCGAAAGGAAAGGGCATGGCTTGATCGCACCGCATCCACCCATGTTTTTTGCATTATGTGGTTTTGGGATTTTGTACTCTGATGTTATTTCACTATGATACACTTTCGGTTGTTTTGAAATGATTATTTGATGTTTTGAAATTAATTTAAAATGAAATTTTTGTCTCATATATTTGTGATGTTACAAGATCGTGTTAACACTACATAAGTACTTGAAATGAGGATTTTAAGTATTGGAACAACCCACAATTAGAGATTACTTCATGGATTAAGTCCGGAGTACATCTAAGAGATAATATCTTTTATTCTTCAAACCAAGATGCATATGGGGTTTTGTTTACGAAATCTGTTGTGTATTGGTGTGCTCTGATGCTATCTATAACTCGTAGTTATAAAGGACATGTCCATGCATGATTAGACAAGTATACAAAAAATATTTAGTCAAAGTTTATTTGTTCCTTCTACCTTAAGAGGAGAAGCGACATCTGCCTCGTGTACTTCAACGTTATCCATAATTAGAAATGGTGTCCATGGTTATTAACTAGTTGGTAATATTTCTAAATAATAATAGGATCCTTTCGGGTTAGCATTATGACACATATAGCAATAAGGAATTAGAGAAATAAGTTCTTAATTTATTAATAAATTAATTAGAAATTATTTTGTTAATTATTTAAATAGTTTTGATTAAGTAAATGGATTAAATATTAATTAAATCATTGAAATTAATTGAAATATTATATAAATTTATAAAGGGTTTTTCAATAAGTATCCCTAATCCTTCTCCAATCCCACCCCTTGATGTGATTTTTTGTCTTTTTTGTTTTTTCCTTATTATTATTTTTTTGTTTTTAATTCTTATTTATTTTTTTATTTTATTATTATTATTATTATTATTATTATTATTATTATTATTATTATTATTATTATTTTGGATAACCATATAAAATTTGAACAATGTTTTAAAATTTAGATGGTATTTTAGAATTTGGACGACATTATAAATTTGGACGACATAGTAGAATTCAAACGACTATATAAAACGGAACAAAAATATAGTTTGTCTTTATTTATTACGGATATATTAATTGGTTAAATATTACATTTGTGTGGTGCATTATGTTGATTGAAAGCAAACTTTATTTTTGTTCTATTTTATATAGTCGTTCGAATTTTATAATGTCGTCCGAATTTATAATGTTGTCTGAATTTTAAAATATTGTCCGAATTTATATGGCTATCGAAATTTATAATAATAATAATAATAATAATAATAATAATAATAATAAAACAAAAAACAACAAAAAAGAAAAAAGGAAAAAAAAGAAAAGAAAAAGAAAAAGAATAATATCAAATCAAAAGTAAAAAGGTTGATTGGATTGATGTTGGGGGGAGGGGGTGTAAAATTGGTTAAGGGGTAGTTATAGTACAACCCTTTATAAAGAGAAGAGGTGTATGATTTTTTCTTTTCCCTGATAGAGATAAGTCATATTTTGAATACGATAATGATAATGCCTAAGACTTTGAAACCCTAAAGGATCATTTTGATGCCTATAAATAAAGAGCAAGAGATCAAACCCTAGATGATTTTTCACTCATAATTCCGTTCCAATCTCTCTTGTTTCTCTTAGTGGACGAAATTCATAACCCCTTTATTAGGGTTATTAAATTTCGCATAAACCCTAGTCTAGGGTTTATTCGTTATTTTCTTCTTGGAGTCTTTGGTCTGACTACATTAGATGGATTCTATTTTGGATCCTTCATCCATTGCAAGAGTTGCCAATCACAAAGTGTCAATTAAGATAAAGAGATAAGTGTTTTTATCCTTCTATTTAGTTGAATTCGAAAGTAGGTTGCTTTAACTATTAAAACTTAGATCATAAGGTGCATGTACACTTAGATAAAATTTGACTGTTTTACCTTCTAAGAAGTGTATTGATGTTATTAAAACCCAATGAATTTGTATGTAAATTTACAACATTGTGCTCTTGTAAGTTCATCCTCAAGTGGTTCATAATGTTTTTTATACTAAAAATGAAGAAATACAAAAATTAGGGGTTTTATATGACTTACATTGAAAACGAAAACCACAAATCAATGCATCATATGTTAAACTAGAGTACCTACCATTGATAATAGACAAATAGAAAACCTTCAAATTGGATTGTCGAAGCTCTACAAAGTTCACTTAATAGCTGTATGACAACAAAAACATGTTTGGATTTCATCATGTACGTTCATAGACAATGGTAGATCTTTCTTATTCCATATTTTCGGCATGAAGAGAATAACATTCTCATGTTTTGATTTAGGGTTCTTTTATTTTTGGTAATGAGGAAAAAGGGAACAATTATATGAAGGTAAATTCACCCAAGGTTTGTCTGATGATTCTTACTAAATAAGGTATAACACATTGAGCTTATGTGGCAAAGAAAACCACATTGTGCTTAGGTGAAAAAAAATAAGACACGTCATATTCTTCTCCTAAACACTGTAACATGTAAACTATAAACCAGAAAGAAGTATTTTCGAAGTCTAATTTAATAGGTCAACACTTATATTCCAGGTCCATGATAACTATAATAGCTAAAAATTAATTAAATGGCCGAATATGATCTAAAATAATATAAGATACTACATTGTCATTTAACCTTTTATTGAATTGCTAATCGAGTAACCTTGTTTTTTTAATTATAAACTTGTAGCACATACCATGCATTTTTTTAAAAATCATTAAAGTGTTCATCTCATTCATATATATATATATATATATATATATATATATATATATATATATATATATATATATATATATATATATATATATATATAAATTCTTTGTTCCTTTAGAAATAGTATATTTCCTTTAAACTTTTGCCACATAAGTTTTAACATTTTGATAGTTTCCGTCCATATTAGTCACATTTTAAATTTTGCACCTTCTTATTTTATTTTATATATATATATATATATATATATATATATATATATATATATATATATATATATATATATATATATATATATAACTTTGCCCCTCAACTTAAGCTATTTTAACACTTTTGGTCATTACAATCATTTTTTTTTATTTTTTAGGAACCTTTTGATATTCAAAGTTTGACCACACAACTTTAAGGAATTGACAATTTTTGTCCATTGTCTAAAAACTTGCGAATTCCAACGCCTTTAATTTCTTAGCCATTTTGATACTTTTGGTTCTTACAGTCAAAACTTTTACATTTTGACACTTTTGGTTATTGCAATCAAAAAATTTATATTTTTATAAACCTTTTAATATTTAAAGTTTGGCCACAAAGATTTAAGGAATTGAGAACATTCGTCCATTTCCTAAAATTTTACTAATTCTAGTCCTGTTAATTCTGTAGTCAGTTTGACACTTTTGATCCTTACAGTCAAAATTTTACATTTTTTTATACAAAAGACAAAAAACAGCCCAGAGCGAAGCCCGGGTTTTTCCGCTAGTTGCCACAAAATTATAAAGTTATTATATATATATATATATATATATATATATATATATATATATATATATATATATATATATAATATGAAATCATATAAGATAAAATTAAAATATATAATTGTCAAAGTTATAAAAAGTTGGTTATGACTTCGCTATAGATCCAAAGTTTGTACTCAACGCCGCATTAAATCATTTATTTCTATAAAAATGAGTAATGTTTATATATATATATATATATATATATATATATATATATATATATATATATATAATTGTCATCTTAAGTAATGCCTTATAAACGATGTCTTTCGTCGTAAAACCTTAAGCGTTGATGTCCGGCAAATCACTCTCCAACGTAAAACCCTGATAATTTTACACGTAAATTTCTTTATGTATTTATGTAATTTTAATATTCATTACATACGTTTTGAAAATTAAACATTTTTTTGGTGTTTAGATAAAAAGTTGTAAAATATAACAAAAAGTAAAGCCACAAAAATTGATGTCACAAAAGCCAAAGATAAAATGTCTAATGTCCATTCTACCCTCGACTTTCGCTCTCTTCTTTCTTTCTTCATTTCTTGGTACCTCCTGTGTCTCATTCTTGCTTCCTCCACTCTATCCAACCCACTTCCCCTTTTACCCTCCATCACCCTCCGTAAAATTACCATACTGTCCCTGCCATTCAAATGTTTTCCATCCATGTCCTCCACCTCCATCGTCACTTCCCGAACCTGCATCTCCCCATCCTCCGACCCACTGCAGATCACCGCTATCCCAACTTGCACCACCGCCCCACCGACTCCGAGGATGGATACGAAACAGAGTTGCACTTCTCCCGACAACCAGTGGCGGTGGACGGAAACCGGCTTATGGGAGGAGAGATTCACCGACTGTTTATTAACCGGGTCGATGAGTATCCAGCTTAACGTCATGTCATCCATCAACGCCGTACACGTCTCTTCTCCGGTTGGTTGTTGTATCTGAGTAGAGATTACTTCCTTCGGGTCCAATAGGTCGATTCTGAACGGCGAACACCTGAACCAATCACTGGTGGTTTCGGTTTCCTCAGTTTTTGTGAGTATTGGTTTATTCCGGTAGTAAATATCAACGGCTGAGATTAATTCACTTGCCGGAAGTGAACGTGTTGGATATGGTGGCGGAGATACGGCGGTGGGTTCCGGTGCAGGTAGAGGGAAAGACTGGGAGAAGAAAGAGCGAGGGCCGTTTTTGTTATCGGAGAAAGTGGAGATGATTTTGCCGACGCGGTTGCCGGTGGTTGAAGGCCATGTGGAGTGGCAGACGTTGGACCAGAGTTGGTGGTTGTGATTGCCGCCGGCGGAGAGTGATATGGAGGTGCATGTGGCGGAAGCTAAGGTTTGACCGTCGAGACGAGTTAGTATGTGGGACTCTAGTATATCGGTAGGTAATGATGAAATTCCGGTGGTGGCACGTTGGTTCATGGTGGTTTCCGGTGGTGGTGTGGTGAACATTTTGTTCTAGTACTTGATAAAATATAGCCGATTTATTACGTTTTTTTTGCAAGTTCGGAGTATAAATAGTTGTTTGTTTGTATTTATAAAATGTGGAAAACGACTTTTGAGTTCAACTACAAAATTGATCGGTGGTGAGCCGTCGATCTCATCCATCAATTAATCGACTAATTTGTTTATTTTGTTGTATGTTTCTAAATTAATAATATAATTTTAAAACTTAAAAGTAATAGTTAAATAAGTATAAACTTAAATTAATCATTCGTATAACGTTAAAAATATTTAACAAATATTTATGTTCAAATTGGATTATTTTAGACGTACAAATAAAAAAAAAAAAGATTTAATATGTACTATTATTAAAACTACAAAACAAAAGTCATATTTTACGTATATATATACATATATACATATAGGTATAGATACTCACGTGAGACATGCATGCTTACATGCATGATGTATGTAAGTATTAGTTGGGAGATTGTAGAAGTTAATAGAGGTTGAATTTGTATGGATGGTAGACCAAGTTTAGAATAGCAAATGATTTGATTTTGAAATCAATTTTGTCTTTTATAGAGTCAACAAGTTCAATAGTTCATGTAGAATCGCTATTATTATTCCAAACACAATTTAAAATTAATGATTTTTATACTATATTTTTGTTTACGGGCTTTATTTAGCCTTTTTTCATGATGTAAAAATGAACCAACTATTATATGTTTGTTTGATAAATACTGAATATCTAGTTTCACGAAGGTATCTGAGATCGGAAAAGAACTTTGGTCTTGTTGGAAAAAAAAAAATTAACACAAATTCAGAGCTTTAAACTTTATTAAAATAAATAAACAGTTATACATTTTTGTTAGATGTCTCAATAGTCACATGGTGTGAGACCCCTATGCCAAAGATCGATACAGGTGTGGTAGTGAAGGAACCAGTAGTAGCATTTGCAACCGGGTTGTGAGATTGAGAGGCGGCAATAGAGATATTGTTATCTCTTTGAAACTTGGATAGTTTACGACATTCCTTGGTGGAATATTCCGGAATGTTGCAAAAGTGACAGTAAGAAGTGTTGCGATTTTGATTTTGGTTATAACCACCACGCTGAGAGCGTGGCCATTGAAGGGAATTTGGTTCTTTTTGTTGTGAGTTGGGTGTAAACTTTTGGTTCCGGGGATAGAAGTTGTTGGAGGGTTGGCGATTTGGCGGCAGGTCGTAGAATTGGCAGTGACAATGGAGGATGTTGTGGTTTGAAGAGTTTCCTTGAGTCCTTTTTCGAAATCAAGAAGTTTGTCAAAGAGTTTTGGGTAGGAAAGAGGGGTATCATGTATTTTGATGGCTGCAACAATGTAACTATATTCACCTCCTAGTTAAGATAGAATGTGCACCATGAGGTATTCTTTAGAAACGGGGAGTTGAGCAAGAGAAAGATCATCATAAATGGATTCATATCTTGGAGATAGTTGATAATTGATCTGTCTCATTTAGGGTTTTGCACGAGTTTGGATTTCATAGAGATGACACGAGACCTAGAGGTGCTAGCGTAGCTTGAATTTAATTGTTCTTAGGCTACTCGGGCAATATTTACTAATGAGATGAGAGGTTGAATGGATTCTGAACAACTCCCAAGAATGGAACCGATGGGAATTTGATATTGGCGGTACCAAGCTAAGTATTCTGGATTTGGTTTCTTTCCCTACTTTTCTATAATGAACCTAGTTGGTTTTTTATGACTGCCATCGATAAAGGTTTTAAGTTGTAATCCAATTAGGGTGGATTCAACTTGCCTGCGCCAGACAGGAAAATTTATGGTAGTGAGTTTGATGAGGAAGTGACTGGCGGCAGTAAATTGAATGGTTGTTGTTTGATTTATCATTAGTAGGTCTTGAATGAATGATGGATTAGGATTGTTGTGAGAAGGGGTCGAGAAATGCTCAGTGGAGCTTGTGGAGCTCTGATACCATATAAAGGTTATTGAAAAGAATTGTTTATATATGTTTACATTGAGTCTTTACATTGGATTTTATAGCCATGATACATAATTGAATACAAGGGAATGATGTGATTGAGAATTAATACATGAAAGTATTAAAGTAATTCATTACGAGAATAATCTAAATATGAAAGTTACTTTGTAGTTGTAGGTGTATCTATATTAGTATATAATAATGCACCAATGGTTGACCAAAAGGCTTTTTTTTGTAACTATTAATCACAATATTAAACACTTATTTCATTTTCATTTTGGGGGTTTAAATCTTGGTTAGTTACTATTGTAACATTTCATTTATTAAATAAATAAAAAGATAAAATTAACAAATGAATAGTAGCCCTAAATGCGGAATAATTTAGCAAGACATTGGTTTTGGGTGCTAAAAAGTCATAATTGAGAGTTTGGGGGTTAAAATTTAATTTACAGATTAATTTGTAAAGAATTTTGAAGTTTGGAGGCTATTTAGTAAATTATGGTTTTAATTCGAAAGGATTTTCGAAGATAGGGGCTGCTTGGTAATTATTAGGACTTATTATGAAAGGAATTATGGAAGCAGGGGCTAAAGGGTAATTTCTAGACTTCAAGTGAAAAGTATTTATGGAGGAGGGATCAAAAGTGTAAAAAATGTTTTAAGTTTGAAAGGAAAACACGGGACTTAAACCCGTTCCTTCCCTTCCCGTTGAAAATTTGTCATCAAGAAACCCTAACCCTAAATATTTATGTAGTCGCCACCTTGTGCTCTTCTCCAGCCGCCACCCACGACCTCTCCAGATGGCCGTTGTTGCCGCTTCCTAGCAGTCATTGACGAGCCACCCAATTCCCTCTTGTTTTCCGACTCACCATCGAGATGCCATCGTGGCCCTTGCTGTCGGCGACGTCATGAACGGACGGAGGAACCACCAAGAATGACGCTAAGGTTGTCGAAGATGACATCAGGGTTGTGTGTTGCCATTCTCGAATGTGCCTCCGCCTCCTTTTCCGTCGCTGCGATGTCACCGTCGTTGCTATTCTGGGCAGATGTCGCGAGTGACGTCCTCCTCCGACTACCTTATGCCGCTACGAGGTGGCTGTGTTGGTGTGTATTGTCTGGGTGTCCGACCTCGTGTTTGGAGTGTGTGTGTGTGTGCATGTTTTTATTGGCCGGAAGCTGTAAGGGAACCACCATGGCAACCAACCATGGTGGGTGCCACCTTGTATCACCGTCGGCCGCCACAAGGGTGGTTGTGCATGTGTGGGTGTGTGCTATTTTATGCGTGCATTCCTTTTTGATAATATGTTGTATGTACATTATTTGGCCATAAAACCCGAAGTAAACCCACCGCCACCACCGTGAGGTGGTGTCTGCCGCCACCAACCACCGTGTTGGGTGGCGATGTGCATTTGAGTGTGAATGAATTGCTATTTGAGATATGCTTGGACATGTTTTGTATCTAGAATCACAACCACCACCACCACAATGTGGTGGCCACCGTCATGAGCCACCGTTGACCACCACTATTCGAGGTGGTAGTGGGTGGTGCCCGGCCTAATGAAACCCTAGTTAACCTAATGAAACCCTAATTGATCTAAAGGATTAGCTTCTGGATCTAACTGGCGTGTTTTGGGTTTGGAAACCCTAATTAGGGTTTAGAAAAACATAATCTTGGAGATTTTAATTTAGACTTGTCGGGACCCGCATTTTGGACGACTGGATTGGAATTATGAATTAAGCTCGACCACAATGTATGATTGACCTAGTAGATTGATGGACTTAATGGATTAAGTGCTTAATGGGTTCAATGTTTCTAATTAACCCTAATCGTCATTTCATGTGAAAACCCTAATTGTGTTGGGATTTGAGTTGGGCCTTTCTGTTGGGCCTAGATGTTTGGACTCTTGATGGGTCAACTATTAACAAGTATATGGACTAGGGAATTTGGATGGGTTTTAGAGTAAGGCCCATGTGAGGGGTTTGGCCCCAATTTTTTTTTGGGTGTTATTTTGATGTTGACAGTTCGAGAATCTGTCATCCAACAGTTAGAGTTTTGTTTGCGGGGACTTCAGCAGTGTGAGGAGTTTTCCTCCTGTATGAACGGGTCTAACGCACCAATCCAGTCCCGTATACGTATGCTAGTATGTTCCGGAATTAGGTTCGATGTCGGGGTTACCTTGGTGTAGGTTATATGTTTTCGGACTTTGGTCCGATGTCGGGGAAAGCCCGAGGAATGTTTGTATGCTTGATGTCTTCGTGATTCTTGCATGTGGTTGTTTATATATTCCGGGCTTTGGTCCGATGTCGGGGCAAGGCTTAGGAATGTTTAGCTCATATGTTATGTTATATGTTTCCGGATTTCGGTCCGATGCCGAAGAAATCCCAAGGAATGTTCTTATGCTTGATGTATTCGTGATTCTTGCATGTGCTTGCTTATATGTTTCGGGCTTTGGTTTGATGTCGGGGAAAGCCCGAGGAATGTTTAGCTCATATGTTATGTTATATGTTTCCGGATTTTGGTTCGATGCCGGGCGGGGCCCGAGGAATGTTTATATGCTTATGTTATGTGTTTATGTTATATGTTTTGTTGATATGTTTTTATGTATAATGGACTTCGATCCAATGTCGGGCAGGGCATGATGCCAGACTTTGGTCTGATGCCTGGCGGGGCCCGATGTCGGACTTGTTTGATGTCGGGAGGGGCTCGATGTAGCGGCCAAGGCCCAATGTATTTTATTATGTGATTATGTGATTAGGGTAATGGTATGTGGTAATTTGGGGAGACTCAGTAAGCTTCATGCTTACAGTTTTCAGTTTTGGTTTTAGGTACTTCCGGTAGTAAGAGGAAGAGCTTGGGATGATTGCAGTGCACACACCATTTGTTTAGCTTGGGATGTTTATACTCTGATATATTTGACACATTTTTATGATATTTTTGAGATGCATGACTTATGATTTTATATGATGTTTGATAACTATGGTTTTCTTAATGATTTAAAATGAAATTTCTGGACCGTATTTTTGGGATGTTTCAAG